AAAAAATTAGTTTTGTTGCTACTCTGTAACTGCAACTTAGCTACTGTTATGAATTGTAAATATGGAATAGACAGGATGTCTGACAGCCCCTGTGGAGGTCATGACCCACAGGTTGGGAACCACTGCTTTGGCATGTCTTCAGGTTTGCGTAGCTGACCACTAGGGAGGTGATTGACAGGCCCAGATGGATTAACTCTTAAGGGAGGGGATGGTAGTATGCAATGTTCTCTTCTTTGGAGCAGATCAGAACGTCACAGGCCTTTACAGGGCCAGAGATGGGACTCAGATCCTGTTGTTTTGACCAGGAGGAAGTAGCTTCCCTTTAATGGGCTTCCACAAAGTCACCTTTACACATGGTATTTTAAATCTGAAGGAGGGGCAGTAGTGATGTTTCTCTTTTAGTGTTACCAGGGTAACGGAAGGTGGTTTTCAAAGCTGACCATGACTCTATCCTCTGAGGCTTCTAAGGCTAACGCTGCACTAGCTGGCTAGTTAATATTTCCCCTTGTTCTAGTCAGGGTCACTGTTGCTGTGCTGAGACACCATGACCAAGGCAACCTGGGGAGGCAAGGGTTTATCTGGCTTACACTTCCACACCACTGTTCATCACTGAAGGAAGTCAGGGCAGGAACCCGGAGGCAGGAGCTGATGCAGAGGCCGTGGAGGGGTGCTGCTTACTGACTTGCTCCTCATGGCTTGCTCAGCCTGCTTTCTTACACAACCAGGACCACCAGCCCAGGGATGGCACCACTCACCATGGTCTGAGTCTCCCCACATCCATCACTAAATAAGATAATGCCCTACAGGCTTGTGTGTAGCCTGATCTTATGGAGGCATTTCTCTGCTGCGGCTCCCTCCTCTCTGAGGACTCTGGCTTGTTTCAAGTTGACATAAAACCAGCCAGATAACCCCTTCAAAGCTGAGACCCTAAAGTCATTTGGGAGCTGGCTCTTTCCAGCTTCTTGCCAAGAAAAACTGCTCGCTTTCAAGGTGGCTGCCTAAAAACTTCCGACCAGTTCCTTGCTCCTGTTCTTATCACAGTGTAAAACACTGCTTAGCTTTTCCTCTTGCAAAGAGGTCTGAGGTCTTTCACAGGCTCCCAAGTTCTCCTCTGGGCCCTCAAGTGAAACCTGCTGGCTTGGTGGGTTACTGGTTTTTTTTTTTTTTTTTCAATCGTCCTAGCTCGCTTGCCAACTAGTACCGGTGGGTATCACAGTTCGGTGGGTACCTCTTGGTGGTGGTGGTGGTGGGGGTACTTTCCCTTCTGTTAGAGCAAGGAAAGGATTTAAACAGCCCTAGCTAGCTTTTCAGGTGCCTGGAAACAGTAGTGTTTGGGGTTTTGCTTTCAGGATGGCTGTAAAATTGAAAAGGAAATTCCTTTAAAAAAATATAAAAAGGTTCTATGACATTTTCATAATGTATAGAATTCTAATTATTCTCCCTCTCATCCCTTCAACTTCCCATGCTCCCGAGGAGTCTCTCTCCCATGTACATGTCTTTTTGTTTTTAAAATACCCCCTCGCTCTTTCATTACTGATAAGCCTTGTAAAAGAGAACAAGAAAAAAAGAAAACAACCTTCCTTTAAAAGTTGTGAGATTTACCACAGACTTGTGAAGATAATACAGAAAATTCTTCTACGCTGCCCACCCTGCTCCTCCTGATACTGTCTTACTTAGCCAGGTGAATTACAGTAAAGCAATGCACCCTTACATACACACAACTGCTGGTGAACACAGACGTGATTCGGGTCTCATGAGTGTTTCTACGAATATCCTTTTGCTGTTCCTAGGGAAGCCTAGCATGCCACGTTGTATTTAGTCACTGTGTTGGTTAGTTTTATGTCAATGACACAAGTTAGAGTCATTTGCAAAGAGGGACTCTCAGTTGAGACTGTGGGCTCCTATGGTTGGCCTGTAGGCAAGTCGGTTGTTTTCTTGATTTGTGATTGATGTGGGAGCGTGCAGCCCACTATGGGTGGCACCCACCCTATGTTGGTGGGTCTGCGTGCTGTAAGAAAGCTGGCTGAGCAAACCAGGAGCCATAAGCAACAGTTAGTTCTTGTGGTCTCTGCCTCAGTTCCTGCCACCAGGCTCCTGTCTAGAGTTCCTACCCTGACTTCCCTTCGTGGTGGACTGTGGTCAGGACCTGCAAGTTGAGATAAACTCTTTTCCAAGCTGCTTTTGGTCATCGTGTTTTATCACAGCAGTGGAAACCCTAACTAGGACACTCACCATACTTTTGAGTCTTTGAACAACTTTATTTTTGACTTTTCTCCATTGTGAAAATTCAAGCTCTCAAGAGAGAACACTGGAGAATCCCAGCTGATGCTCTTCTCTTTGAAGTTTGATCAGTCTCACGTCAGGGTCCTGAGCGACTCACGCTTCTAAGGGAACTGAAGGTTTATATGAGCCTCAGCAGTCAGCAGCAGTAAGTGAGTGGCAAGGCCTGCAAGGTTGTGCCTGCTTGCAAGTCTTGTCATCTCTGGCTGATAATCTGCTTGAGTAGGTGGTGTGAACCCCTGATGGTGAGAACTCTCTGGGCTTCCTACTTCATTCTGTCGCAGTTGCCAGGAGAGACGCTTCAGATGTAAGAGGTACATTAGCAAGTTTGTTGGAAAGCTCACTCTGGAGCCTCTATTTGTCCCTTTGAACTGATGGGTAGTATTCAGTTCTCCTTGGAAGTTGTGGAGACGTCTCTGGCTCCACTTAGCCCCCCCACTGCTTTTGAGAAAATTATTGTGAGAGCTTCTAAAGTGACTGTCAAAACAACAGAGACTACCCTTTTTCTTTTTAAAGTTATTCATGACAGGGTTTCTCTGTGCAAACCTGACTGTCCTGGAATGCCCTCTGTAGACCAGGCTGGCCTCCAACTCACAGAGATCCTCCTGCCTCTGCCTCCCCAGTGCTGAGATTAATGGTGTGCGCCACCACCACCTGGCTGGGAAAGATTATCATCTGCCTACATTTTGCTTTCCTTTGGTGTCAGGTTCTTGCACCACTTCCTGGATGCTAAAGCATTTAGGGTTTACCTTTGTTCTGCACATTCTGCTTACCCCAGGAAATTTTCCATTTTTATGCCTTGGTGATTACTGGCTGCTGCTGGCAGAATGACACCCCATTGGTGTTATTCTGAAATGATCATTGAGTAAGTAAATGTGTGGCTGAGTGGACCAGTGGCCTCCCAGTTGGCTCCAGGCTTTACCTGTCAAGCCATTTCACACTGCACTTTCAGTGGCTTCACCTGCTAACCCCTTGGGATTAATTTTCATTTTAAGGAGCAGGTACCATGAACAGAATTCAAATGTAGAGGTCCTGCAGGCTGCTTTTCTTCTTGACCTTCAAAAGATGTTAGTAGCTTATAGGATAGTTCTGTGTTCATGACAGAATACACACACACACACACACACACACACACACACACACACACACCGGGGAGGTTTATTTGTGTGTTTGTTTGAAGGGGATTTCACTTTTCCAGCCAGCATTAGGATGTCTCTTAGCTAAAAATTAAGTTTCTAACACAAACGTGACATTACTGCCGAAGCTCAAATGCATACATACATTCTCTCCTTCAACAAGTATGTACAATGTACTCTGTAGGTGTGCTACTAGGTGTGCTGTAGGAGGACAGGGTCTCAGGACTGTTGTCTGATCCAGTAACTGACCTCAGATGGCCTTTATTACTTCCAGTTGTCCTTATTAGGAAGATTACAAGTAGAAACCATGAGAGTAATGAAGGGAAGGATTGTCAGCCATGGTGGGATCAACCCATCAAGTCAGTTGGTCCCGAGTGAGGTAAGGTGTCTGTCTGTCTGGGCCTGTTGTTGATATGAATGACGAGGGGATAGATAGACCCCTGAAAAGTTAGAAGCCGGGGAGAGAGATTAAAATGACATTTACTTGTGTTCGAATCTTTCCTCCTTGTGTGGACCATTTAGAAACAGGCACGTTTGTCCATGTCCTTTGATGCCCAGAGTTGTTTCTGTGCAGGGCTAGCTGACCCTGCAGAGTGGCTGCCCTGTTCCTAGGACAATATCCCTCTAGTTGTTCTGGCTTGGCCTTCTGTTTAGTTTGCATCTTGTACTTTGCTAGTTTTCCAAACCACTGGCCACACCACAAGGCTTCATTGAACAGACGGCATGAGACAGACGCATGATCTTGGAAAACCGGGGCCCCAGGGATCAAGGTACAGGCCTGTCTGACACTTGGCACACATCTCCTGTGCCCAATTTGAAGGATTTTCTGTGGTAGGCAGGGGTCTGGGCCCTGTTCTCTGAGGAGCTCTGGGCTGGTGTTGACAGAAGGAAAGGGTGGAGGTGGAGTTGGGTGGCAGACATCACACTTGCCCACATGCTGCCAGGAGTTAGGGTTCTGAGGAAGTGGGAGGAGTTTCCACATGAGTGGTGGTGCTTGTTGGGGACACAGATCCTTTTCCCATGCTCTGCAGGTCTGAACACACACATGCTCAGGCTACTTAGAGAAGTGTGTCTCGTGCTCAGTTTCTTTATAGAAATGCAAAGCGAATCTAGGAAGAATGATACTTGAAACCCTTTCTTCCTTCCCACACGCCTGAGAAGTTTCCTAAGCCCGAGGGTTACTAAGATCTGTGCGGCTGACAATGCGCTCGGGTGGCTTATTTGCTACCCGCAGGCAAGGCTCATTTTCGGATCCGCTGTGACGCACGGCCCTAACAGGAGTCAATTTGTCATGAGAGGGACTTTCTGAAAATGAAAGCTTGGAGTAGAGATAGGGATGTGCTGAAAGAAAATGAAAGTTGAGAAGCAGAGAAATCCTTCCTGTGTTCTCTTAAAGGCACAGTGATCAGCGTTCACCATGACTTTCTTTCTTTCTTTCTTTTCTTTCTTTGTTTCTTTTTTTTAAAAAACGACTTGAACACAAGCTTTGCTTATTGGATTATCTTTGACCACAGGCTGCCCTTGCCTCTTTGTTCCTGTGTGTTACCAAATGTCAAACTGGGTGATTTTTTTTTTTTTTGACAGTAAATCTCCACCAGGAAGGGTGCTGTTAACCTCTCTACCTGCCTGTGTGCTTGCAGCCCTGGACATAAGCCTGGAAGTCCAATTGCTTGGTGCTTTGCTGTGAAGTTGGTAGAAGGTTTTAAGGAACTGAGGACTCAGAGGTACACATGTAGAATTGCATGTAGAACTGCTGCAGGAAGCAAGCTATGGGGGAATCAAACTTTGGCCTTTGGGGATGTTGGATTATTGTTTTAAGGTGTGTGACTTTTGTTTATGCTGTTTTTAACTCTGTGAAGCTGTGATTCGTTACCTGTCTAAAACACCTGATGGTCTAATAAAGTTCTGAACGGCCAATAGCAAGGCGGGAGCAAGGTTAGGCGGGGCTGGCAGGCAGAGAGCATAAATAGAAGACTTGAGGAAAGGGAGGAGCAAGAGAACAAGGAAAGGAGGATGTCAGGGGCCAGCCACCCAGCTACACAGTCAGCCACGGATGAAGAAGGAAAGTAGGACATAAAGAAGTAAGGAAAGGAAAAAGCCCAGAGGCAAAAGGTAGTCGGGATCATTTAAGTTAAGAAAAACTGTCTAGCAACAAGCCTGGCCAAGGCCAGGTGTTTATAATTAAGAATAAGCATTTGTTATGATTTATTTGGGAACTGGATGGTGGGGCCCTCAAACAAAAAGTCAAAAGAGTAAAATGTCACACTACGTGGGGGAGTATGAACACCAGCCGTAGCCTACACTGTGAGGAAGCTCAAGTTTCTGAATGCATGTGCTGGGACCATGAGCTGATGGAACAGGTTTTCATGGTAAAGGTGAGAAGGCTTCCCGGGTAGAGGAAGCTGCCTGTGCAACTGAGACATCAGGGCGCATGTGAGCCAGGGCATGGCAGGCGTGTCTTGAGCGAGTGTCTGGAAGGCAGGGAAAGGGTTTTCTCTTCTGAGATTCCACTCACTCATTGTGTCCCTAAAGGCACATGGACTTGGAGGGTTTGTCACCCCCAGGAGGCAGGGCTTAATGGAATTATGTTAGGTCATTGGGGACATGGCCTTTAAAGGCACACTAGGACCTATCCCTCCCTCCACCCCTTCTTTCTTCCTTCCTTTTCTTTCCTTCTCTTCACATCTTTGGTTTTTTTTTTTTTTATTTTGGTGTGGGTATGTGTATGAATGTAGACGTGTACCATGGTGCCTCTGTGGAGGTCAGGGGGCAACTTTGTGAGTTGGGTCTCTTCTTCCACTTAAAAACAAATCGTGTGTGTGTGTGTGTGTGTGTGCAGGCGCGCGCACGTGGGAAGAGAGACAAAGACAGAGACAGAATGAATGTGGGCACCATGCACATGTGAAAGTCAGAAGGCACCCCCAGACTTTGCTCCTCACCTTCCCAAATTGTTTGGGACAGGATCTCTTGTTCGCTGGTTCTGGTTCTTAAGCCAGGTTGGCTGGCACCCAGGCTTCCAGGGGTTCTCGTGTCTCCACCACCAATCTTGCAGTAGGCACGCTGGGATTACAGATGCATGCTATCACATCTGGCTATGTGTGGTTGCAGGGAAGGGGTTCAGAATCAGGTCCGCATGCTTGCCCAGGAGCAAGTGCTTAACCCACTGGGTCATCTCAGTGGTTCCATTGTCTTAAGGAGGGTCCCTGTTGCTGTGACCACGACCAAAGAAAGCAGCCTGGGGAGGAAAGGGTTTATCTGGCTTCTCTTCCATATCTGTGTTCATCATCGAAGGCAGTCAGGACAGGAACTGAAGCAGGGACGGATCATGGATGCAGGAGCTGATGCAGAGCCCATGGAGGAGAGCTGTTTACTGGCTTGTCTCCTTCAGCCTGCTTTCTTGATCCCACTGAGAATAGGCTTGGCCCTCCCTGTCCCCCATCCTTCACTAAGAAAATGCCCTACACCATAAGGCTAACACTAAGAAAAGGGCCGGCAACCTTATCATATGGAGGCATTTTCTCAATTAAGGCTCCCTCCTCTCAGATGACTTTAGCTTGTGTCAAGTTGACATAATACAAGCCAGCACACCAATCTTATACCTCGTTTTGAGGCAGGGTCTCTCTGGTTTCTGCTGCTGAAATGTACACAAGGCTAATTGGTCCATGAGGTTCTGGCCAATTTTCCCATCTGTCTCATGTCTCACCACAGGATTGCTGGGATTCCAGATGCCACTACATCTGACTTCTATGTCAGTTCTGGAGTGGTTAGGTCTACTCAACAAGCCATCTCTCTGACTCCCTTACCCCCTTTCCTTCCTGGCCATTATAATGTGAATAGGCCTTCATCATCTGCTTCTGTCGATGGACTGGAATTAAAAAAAAAATCCTAAATAAAATATCAATAGCAGAAAATAGCAGAACTTGCAGAAGTGATGTTAAGTTTTGTGATGCTAGACACATTCATTGCTGTCTCCAGAAGGGCCTGGTGTCAGATATATGGGTTGGTCGTTGGCTCATTCTGTGATAAGCAGCTATGAACAGCTGAGGGAGAGGCAGACACACAACCTGTATGAGGTGCCAGGCCATGGGACTGTACAGACAGATGCCCCTGGAGTTCCGTCCATAGGTTCACACTAGGAAGTGGTGATGGTTGGGTCCCTCAGGTTATGTTGATTAGGTACAGGAGTGGAAGGGAGAGTTAGGAACTGGGATGTGTGGTGTGGAAGATGAGGGTGGATCCGAGCCTGTCTCAGTACCTTGGTATATTATCATAAAAGGGAAGGTTGGGGGAGGAGTAGGTTTCATTGCTGATTGTTTTGTTTTTCGAAACGGGGTTTCTCTGTAGCTTGGAGCCTGTCCTGGAACTTACTTTGTAGACCTCGAACTCCGAGATTGCCTGCCTCTGCCTCCCGAGGGCTGGGATTAATGGTGAACACCACCAAAAAGACAATATAGTACTAGTGTTAGTCTTAGAGCCTGGTTTTTGGCCTGCCTTTTAGCATGCCAACTCTGCACTTAGTAACGCAGTAGAAAATGACTTGACATTTATTTAGGTCATTGGCAGTGTTAATGGTTGTCCACAAACCAAACTGAATTTCTTGGTAGGAAAGATTCAATTTAAAAAGCTTTGATTTTTTCCAGAAGGTGTACTGTGTACACACAAGGTTTTGTTTTGTTTCTTTCAAGACAGGGTTTTTCTGTGTAGCAGCTCTGGCTGTCCTGGAACTTGCTTTGTAGGCCAGGTTGGCCTCGAACTCGCAGAGATCCGCCTGCCTCTGCCTCCCACGTGCTGGGATTAAAGGTGTGCACCACCACACCTGGCTAATACACACACGTTTTAAACATTATCATTTCCTTGAAAATTGGAGCTGTGTTAAATATGTTGATAAATTCAGGCCCACCAACCACTCTGAATGCAGCAGGAAGTGGGGGCAAACAAAGACAGCTTACCTTCAAGTCTACCCTCTTGATGTTCGAGACCTGCCATTTGGGTGTAGAAACTGCTCTTCTCTTAAATTAGGGCCCCAAACCCAGACAGTCTGATACTTTTCGCACTCCCAGTCAGTCAGGTTGCTGAGGTTAGAGAGTCACCTGAGCGCAGAAGTCTTGAGGCCAAACTGGGCGATAGGCTTTTTAAAAATTAAATTTTCTTTCCCGGCTCTGCTCTCTGAGCTTTTTCCTCTGGGGATCACAGGTCATCCATTCGTCTGGGTCCAGGCTGGAAACTGAATCTGGGTCCCAGTCCTGACCCCATATCATTACCTGTTTTTTGAACAAAATCCCCAGGGGATTCTTGTACACTTCAAAGTTTGCGAAGGGCTGTGTTAAAATAGTCTAAAGGTTTCTGAAGTGTGCTTGTTTGGGATCAGAGTTTTATTAGAGCAGCTGGGGTTAAATCGGATGAAGGCTGGCAGGTGTGTCGCACTGACCAGAGCAGTGCTGGATACTCGGGTCAAGTTACAAATCAACCCTAAGACTTTCTCCAGAAGTACGGTACCCCATAGGTGCCCTCTTCAGTATTGCTGGGAAAAGAACCCCCCACCCTGTAAGCTGGTGTGTATGCTGGCATGGAATAGAAGGCCCTAATTTCTAAGAAAAGGGTAAGTTAGTGAGTGGAGGGAAAGACTTATTCCCCCTACTGCAATAATACAAATAAACAAAATATAAAAATGGGAGAGGGTGGTCAGGCTGAGCGCCTGATCACCATGGAGCGGGTGTAGACATTGGCAGAGATTTGTCCTGCCATGATGCTGTTTGGTGTACGGTGGTGCGCTTGTTTGGAAAATATTGCCCAAAGATCTCAGAACTGTTTGCTGCTTTTCTTTACAAACATTTCTCTTGTCGGAGCGACGAGAAAATTGCTCGTGTGGGAATTCGAGAAGTGGGGATTTGTTAATGCCTCCTCTGAGACGGGTTTGTATTCAGAGCTGTTTATGAACTGCCACCGACCATTTCCAGCTAAAACGTGCTGTTGTTAGGTCAGGCCGCGGCGAAGTCTGGGAGGACGCATGCGCACAAACTCCCAGGCTGCCACCGGTGGCTCGGGCCTGTATGCTGTGGGTTTCTGTCTTTTAAAATCGGTGGACTGAAAGTACTCTGGTTCTTGTGCAAAGACCCTGTTTGGAAAATCACCTCCCTTTTAAGGATCTCCAGAAACCCCGGCTTTTCAGGTATCGGAGACAGTCACTCTTCTGATGGTGCGGCTGGACACTCGGTGTCATACACTTTGTTCTTTTGTGACCTGTGTCACTCTGGGTGGTGCGGTTAGTTCATCATTGATAGATCATGGACACAGTGGTTGTTTTTCCATGAAGAGTGGCAGATTTCCCTGCTTTCCGCCCTCGTTCAGACCTGTACAAGATGGTGATCTGGGTCCAGAGTGCAGCCTGTGGCTGCGAACCGTGGGTGCTAAATCTTCATTCAGGGTGTCTTTTTTTTTTTTTTTTTTTTAAATGAATCTGGATGTTTTCTAGCAGAGGTTCTCGTTGGAGGAAGACATTTGACAAGGTCTGGAGGCAGTTTTAGTTCTCATAACTGGAAGACAGGAGTTGTGTTAGCACCTTGAAGATAAAAAGCAGGGATGTTGTTGTAGCCCTGTAGTGACAGGATATGAGCACACATGAGGTTGTCCAGCCCCCAATGTCAGTGGTGCCTTGGTAGAGAAACTCCGCTTGAACAATAGTGCCGGTTTTAGTGGATGGATAAGATTAAGTAAACTTCAGAGA